CCCCAAAACCCCAAAACCCCAAAACCCCAAAACCCCAAAACCCCTAATAATTAGTTGGGAATGGAATTGTAATTATTAATATTAATATGGAGTTATTCATAATTCTTTTGTTATCTGTTGGCTTTGTAGCTGGCAATATGTGTGAGAATCAGGATCAGGAGATGGGCTCATCGATAGCTGCCAGTTTTGGAATTCCAGGAGCAACAGCTTGCTACTTCTTGAATATCTTAGAGGATCAGGAAAGGAGTTTGCTCTATTTTGTGGGTTATTATCGGGCTGGGTCAGCACCATGGGATACGGTTATTTATAAATCTGACCCCTCTTTGAATAAAATAAAAGTGATGAAGTATGATATTTATTGACAGTTTTATTCGTTGAGAATCAACCCAACTGGGGATTTCCTTTATGTTCCAGATAGGGCAACAAATAAGATAATTCAAATTGAGACAACCGGCCTTGGTATCACAAGAGAATTATCAATATCTTCCTCCTCAATCACTGGACAAACAAGCATTAGTATGAATAACCAAAATTTATTCTTCAGTGTCAAAATCGGATCAGCAATTGAAGTTTGCAGATGGAATTATATCAATACTGATCTAGACTGATTCAATTTAGGAGTCAATAGTTTCTTTAATTTTGCTACAATAAATGATGATCTCTTATTTCTTGGCTCAGTTGATTCAACTTTAGATCAATATTATTTACTCAATTACAATTTTTCAGACCCATCAAACTTTGTCTGGAAAAAGAGTATAGGCTGTCCTACTTCAAGCTGAACTACTTCATGGAGCTCTTCTGTTTGAAGCAGAGATAAACAGTCGATTTATACAATAATTCTTTATGACAACAATTTCTTATTTTACACTATAAATACCATTGATGGGAGCCCTCAAAACTCAGGTCTTATTTGGAGTGATTCTGGACATCAAAGTGCATATACTATCCGAGAATTCAATAACATCATTGCAGTTCGGCTTGGTACAAATTTGAGAAGATTAGTTTTATTCAATAAAAACGACATCAATGCTGTCAAGGAATATAGATACAATAACATAAGATCTTATGCAATAGGGAGACTAGTAAATAATGGAGAGGAAATAATGTATAATTCTGGAATTTTTTTGTCTAATTTTACACTGTTTTATGCAAAATCTTCCATCCATAATGTTGACCAACTAGAAGAATTTGTTTCTGAAACTCAGCAATTCTCACCAATAACAACAAATTATCAAATAGGCCATACAAATTCTAATCCTAGTTTGACATCTAGTTCTAAAACTCTCATTGTTTCGACAAGCTCATCCATCACAACCAATGATGCTACTTTGGCGACCTCTCCAACTTTCGTCATCTACGTAGCACTCTGGAACGAAGATCATCTCCAGACTGTGCAGAGTGACTCTATAGTGCTGGTCAACTTCACTTGGGCTTGATCCCAGTCTAGAAATTACACGGATATTGCATTCAGTTTGGTCCAGACTGGAACCAACGATATTCCTGAGTGGGTGCAGTGAGACACAGACAATCAAGAGCTGTATTTGAACAAAACTCCAAGACTCAACGAGACAAAGACTTATTACTTTTCACTCCAGATATCGTTCAACAGTGAAGTTCATTACAAGAAGTTTGAAATTACAGTCGAAAAATGAACTATAGCGAACTGTCAAAGGTGCCAACTTCAAAATCCTAGTTCTTGAGCTGTATGAAAAGAGGGTTACGAAGGATTGAGTTGCCACAAAGCCTTACCCTCAACCGAATCAAATACTAGAACAGCTCAAGCAGCTTCAGGAACAACTGAAACTGCTACTGCTTTAGTTTTAGCAAGTATGATCATGATAACGATTTCTTCAATCTTATCACTTTCTTCTATTAACTCCTTATTCAGTGTGATAAACAGCCTCCAGTTGGCCATACTATTGCCTTTGGTACCAGATTATTTTTCTCAGAAAATTATAAACTTCCTGAACAGCATGGGGTTTGCAATGCTGTCATTCGATTTTATTAAATTTAAAGATATACCATTCGTCAAAGCTATAACAAAATGGGTAGCTTACCCACAATCGGATCAGTATTTGAACAGTATCGGAATGAGGTCAGGAAGCTCAGTAATTAATTATCTATCTTTAATGACAATCATTGTATTGTTAGGAGTGTTTCACTTCTGAGTGCTCCTTTTTTTGAAATCTAAATGCATTTCTAAGAAAAGAAAAATTTATAAAATATTAACAAAGCTGTTCAAGTTTATGACTTTTAACATTTACATTAGAATATTTATTCAGGCATTTGTGTTCACAACTCTGTCGATATTCTCAGAACTCTATGCTATGAACTTTGAAACTACAATTGCCAAGGTTTCCTTTGGGCTCTGCACCATGTTCTGACTCTGCACCAGTGTCTTGTTTGTTCTATCTTTCATTATGTACTGGCTTTCGTTTCCTCAGTTTGATATTGAAAAGTATTGGCTGTGTCAAGAGTACTTCAACGGAGTGAAGCCCACCACTTTCTCGAAGCTCTACTCAAGCTTGTTCATGACGCTGAGGCTGTTCCTGGTTTCAGTTCTGGTGTTTGGAGAATCCATTGACTCTCTGTATCAAGCAATATATTTCAGTGCTCTCAACGTCATGTATGGGGTATATCTTGCAGTTGTGAGGCCATTTGAATACACTCAAGATAACATCATAGAAGCCATCAACCAGGGGTTATTTTGTTGATTGGCAATACCATTAGTGTGGATCAACACAGAAACAGACTGGACTTCATTTTATGAAAACTACTACATTACAATCCTAATGCTATCTCCATCACTCGGAGGCATAATTTCCTTCACATTCTTCATCAAATCCTTCGTCACATACCTCAAAAACCTACGATCACACAAATGCTCCAAAATCACCACCAAAAACCCTCCTCCAAAACAACCCCAAACAACCCCTCCCCCACACCCCCATCCATCCCACATCTCCAACCCAAATTCCAACTTCCTCCAAAGCCAAGCCTCTATATCAAAACTAGCCAAACCTCACAATCCTGTGTTCCCAAATCCTCCAAAGAGAATACTAATAAATACGCATGACTAATCTTTTTGGTTCAAAGTTTGTTCCTGGGATTAGACTCAGTAGAGAGATTTGTATTGGGGTTTTGGGGTTTTGGGGTTTTGGGGTTTTGGGG